CTACGGAAAGACTACGCCAGATACCAGAAGGAGGACAGTCTCGATGATCTGGTATGGCTTAGGCTCGCCTTTGTCTCGACTTTTTTTACTGCTTACTGTATTGCATTCGTGTTCGTTAGAGAACAAAATGTGTCCTTTAGCGGGAAATGCTGGGACAGTACACAGAGAAGTACCAAGTTTTCTCATTCATTCCCTACATTCGTTGAACTATCTCCATATTTCCAGTGGCGTAAGAGCTGGTACTCTATGTAGCCATCCATGTCGGCTTTATTTAGTACTAACTCGAATAAATTTTACAAAACCAAAAATTTTCAAAATACGGCGATGTTGGAATTTGAAATGTGACCGAAGAACGCATATCGCTGAGGGTTTTACTACTTTTAGACGAAGATGTTTGCTTTGCAACTCGTCTCCTGGGCAACCGAGATTTAATGAGATACGGATGGGAGTGAGGTGCAAGTTTTGCCACATTGAAGAAATGAGCTGCATTGATATAGCTCGCCTAATTAGTGGAATAGTGAATCGTCATCGCCATTTTGCGGGGTATCGTTGAATTTCCGAAAATTCGCAATTTCAAGTACTTTCATCAAATAAGGGGCGACTGGCATAGGAACACTAACAATCGAACTTGTACGAGAACGAACGAAGTTGTCCTTTTGATATCTGCTCTATGTATTTTATTACTTATGGGACTTTGTTACTGGGGGAAAGGGCCGAAAGAGAAGGAAGGTTGCAAGTCGCAATTTGGTTTGTGTATGCCTATTATATGTTGAAAAAAAGCGAAAGTTTCTTGTCCAGATTGTCTGCGCCCGTGCAGGAGGAAGAGGAAGGAGCTTGCCTATAGGTGTTAGTTGCTCTTGAAGAAAGGTGGTTAAGAGTTGTAATGGACAGTTTTGCGTGTAATCACTCATAATAAAGCCTCTAACTATCCGAAGAGAACTCCTTTTCCAAAAGTTAGTACGAGTTCGTGGTGAGAGTGCAAAAATTTTGGAAACTTTAATTTGTTAAATAAGTGCTTTTCATTGAATTGTCTATAACTGAATGGCAAAGACTCACGAATAGCATAATTCAGGATGCTGATCTGGGTGACGAATACGGATGGAAACAGGTGCATGGAGATGTTTTTCGTGCGCCATCGATGCCTTTGCTTTTCGCCAGTTGTATTGGCGCCGGCTACCATGTGTTCACAGTAGCAGTGATAACTATTATTCTTGCTATTGTAGGGGAGTTCTATACAGAGTGAGTGTTTTTCTTTTTCTCATCCCCTTTTCATCGATGCTTCTTTCATTATTACTTCTCTCAAAGTCTGTTGTTTCTGGCCTTCTTTACTTGACTTGTGACTTTGCTTTAGACGTGGCTCGCTTCTCTCTGCGGCAATATTTGTGTACGCGGCAAGCTCACCTGTGAATGGCTATGCCGGTGGATCGATGTATGCAAGATTTGGTGGAAGGCACTGGATTCGACAAATGGCTCTTGGAGCTTTTCTTCTCCCGAGTCTGGTCGGTTTGGGAATAGAGTTATTTTTCTTGTAGAGGCAGCATCTCTTATCAAGGACGCCCACTGTTTTAGTTGTGGTTTGCTTATATAGCAGCTATGAGGCTCGCCTTTCTAAATAGCCTGTATATTTCAAATGAACGGATTTTTGTTGTAGTCATTTTGCACTTCCATGCCAGAGTGAAAGAGTGTAGACAACAGCAACATGAGCGGAATTGTAAAAATCCCCTGGTCCGCTTTTTATTACTTTTGAAGTGATTTTTTCAAGTAAAATTTCAAGGAGTCACGCTTCGCCCTGTTTTGTCGATTTACGCTTACCGCAATAATCATAATTTTATTGGGACTGTTTGTACTTTTAACGTTCTACGTTGAACGTTCTTTTCAGGTGTGTGGCGTTGCCTTCCTCATCAACTTCATAGCTATTTATTACCATGCTTCTCGAGCTATTCCCTTCACCGTAATGGTAAGTTTTTTTTGCCTGTCTATGTTGTTCTTCGGGTTTTGATGTGTTGATTTCTTCTTGGCTGGCCCCCCTTATGTGAAACATCATCGTTTTTCCAAACCTCTGCCACGGTTGGCTTCAGCTTTTGATTTGAATGATCTCACCAGTACTGCGATTTCACTGATTTTTCAGTTGGCTGTCACTGCCATTTGCCTGTTCGTCATTCTTCCATTGACACTCGTTGGAACTGTGCTTGGGCGTAACATGTCCGGTCAAGGAGACTATCCATGCAGGTGAAAAGAAGTTCAATGGTTGTAGTTTGGTGAAGTCTTCTTTTTTATCAATTTTGTCCAGAGTGAACGCTGTTCCTCGCCCAATCCCGGATAAGAAATGGTTTGTACAGCCTTGGTTGATCGTGTTGATGGGAGGTGTTCTACCATTCGGGAGTATCTTCATTGAGATGTGAGTTGCATTTGATTAACTGACAGCAAGCAAAGTAAGCTCTTTCCTTTGCGCTGAGGTTTTAACTTTTCAGGTACTTTATTTTCACATCATTCTGGGCATACAAGATCTACTACGTATACGGTTTCATGCTTCTTGTAACAATCATTTTGGCAATCGTCACTGTCTGCGTTACAATTGTCTGCTCGTACTTCTTGTTGAATGCTGAAGATTATAGATGGTGAGTGACCAAGTGTTTTTTTGACGACTTTATATTGTAGGAAGCATATTGCACATCTATGATTTAAACCTATATGAATCACGAGAAAAAAGGGGACTTATTGCACGGTCGATATCGTAGAAGTGAAATTTTTTCGGAAACATCGCTATTGATCGTGTCCTCCGGGATGCCCGAATTTGGAAATGTTCCTTCGATAAGCGGGGAACTTTCTTGCGAAATCTTGCTGGCATTTCAGCTACTATAGTAGTAAGCCTGACTTGCCATTCCATCAGCCGTCCACTGGTTTTAAACTGTTCTAGGTTTCGTACTGTATCTTTGTGACGAACACAATAATCATAAGAATAGCGTTGGGCGTTCATTTTGTTTAATTTGATACCAACAACGAAGCGTCCTTGATCAGTGTCTGATCGTGGGAAAGCGAGGGATGATTTTTCCCGACTAAATCGAATTGGCAAAGCAAGGCCGCAGGCGTGCGAAAGAGGTCAATAAATAGAAGAAGCCCTTCGGATAGTGGAAATGAGGTTGCTTGGTAACATATGGGACACTATTTCGAAAACAACCGACTAAATTTTGAGGCGATTATATTTAACTACGCTTTCATTTACCTAAAATCGTATGAAGAGTTCGTTACAGGAGGTGGACCAGTTTCATGGCAGGTGCATCAACTGCGCTTTACGTGTATCTATATTCAGTTTATTACTTTTTCTTCAAGACAAAGTGAGTTTTTTCTTGAAGTTTCCCTCTTTTTGGAGTTTTTATATTCCTGTTCGAAACGCCTTTTCCTGTACGTCTTTCTTATTTCAAGTCAATTTTCAGGATGTACGGTTTGTTCCAAACTGTCTTCTATTTTGGCTATATGGGCATCTTCTCTGCCGCTCTTGGTCTCATGACTGGCACGATCGGCTATGTGGGAACGGCGAAATTTGTGCGAAAAATTTACTCGACAGTAAAAATCGATTAGTGCGTGGTAAATATTTTATATGACCGTCACTACCGAACCGACTCGCTGTCGTTGTTTTTTATGCGTGTCAATTTCTTTTTTGTTTCGTGGTATTTATTATGTGGTAGTACTCCGTCCAAGAACGGTTCGTCTGCCTGAAGCCTGTACTAGCATCCTTTTTCTTTTTGCGTATTTTATTTTCCTTTGGCTTTTCTCTGCGCTCCCATCGTAAATTCTGTTGATCACCATCGTCTGTTTGTTCCAACCATTTCCCCATCCTATAAATACCTTTTTTGTTCTTCATTTCCCTGCGACCACTCGTTTAGCCGATTNCGACAGTAAAAATCGATTAGTGCGTGGTAAATATTTTATATGACCGTCACTACCGAACCGACTCGCTGTCGTTGTTTTTATGCGTGTCAATTTCTTTTTTGTTTCGCGGTATTTATTATGTGGTAGTACTCCGTCCAAGAACGGTTCGTCTGCCTGAAGCCTATACTAGCATCCTTTTTCTTTTTGCATATTTTATTTTCCTTTGGCTTTTCTCTGCGTTCCCATCGTAAATTCTGTTGATCACCATCGTCTGTTTGTTCCAACCATTTCCCCATCCTATAAATACCTTTTTTGCTCTTCATTTCCCTGCGACCACTCGTTTAGCCGATTGTTTCTCCTAGTTTCATCATTTTAGCGATTTTTCGCTACCCAGTTGACCTTTTTCTCTACAGAATGGCAACCGAAATGTGATATGTATTACTAATAACGTGTTAGTCGGCACTACATATAACTATTTGGTGTATGGACGAGTTTGTTTAGTCAATAAATTGTTTATATTATGCATTTTCTGTTTTCATTGCTATTTAAACAAGAGACATTTTTGCTGGTCTGTCTACCGATTGAAAGTGTTGGTGGTGTTGCTACGATAGGTTCGCAGTGGCTATAGGGTGCTACTAGTAAGTAAAACATGCAAGTACTGTAGCACAAGGTATCTGCCATTGCACTCCTTGCGCACAGCGCGACGACTCGTCCAAGCTGCGCTTCGCAACCATCCCTTGGTACGGATCGTAGGATGGTTTGGGAATCTATGGCTATGGCAGTTCACAGCCTAATTCACGTCATCTACCTACACTCATGGTTTGCCCTGACCCTCTCTAGTGCCCCCATATATGTGGGGTTGCCTTTGGGTTTGGGTGTAATTTCTTTGCTAACTGCTATGTAACAACTGCCTTGCAGTAACGATGTTGTTTTTATTTGTTCCATTGTAGGCACGGTAAAATCCCTAGGATCAGATGAGGCCCGTCTAATAACCCTTTACACGTTCGGTTCTAAGCAGGACCACAGAATTTTTTAATTCACAGCTCGCAATGTCGTAGTTGTAGAAGGCCTCTAGTTATTACCGTTACCTCTTGATAATAATTATGTACAGGTAGTCTAGTGTCAAGTGATGCACCATTATTTAAAGACATGGTCGCAGGTTCGAATCCCGGATCGATATTTGCCCAGGCCAAGTGAAGCCGTTCATAACTCCGGCGCGGGTTAATTGGAACCGTCTGGAAGGGTGAAAGCACTGATTTGTACATCGGCTGACCACTGTCTAATGTTATGATCTATGCTGTATAAGCGCTATAGCTATCATCACGCCAATCTAACTTTTAGGCTTCCTCATGATTATTACTGTCTCGCTTTGCTATGGGTTTTCCATAGAACTACGTTTACAACAATTACGGTAAGGTTTGCTGGTATACAGTCATACAGATAAACATAAAAACCCGAGAGACCGAGACAACGACCTACTGCTTTGTATACAAGAAGGGTCACTCTTATACTGTCCATTCACAGATCGTGAGGTGTGGTTGTGAGAGTCAATATAAACAATCACTGCTATGAAAACGCCAAGTGGTACTTGTGCAAATCTCACATAAAGTATTATTTTTACCGTACATATCTGCGCATTGATAGGCAAATAAGGTCATAATTCGTCAAAACGTAATTTAATAGCAAGCGAAGCGTGTGAAAGACCACACAAAATTGGAAGTTCTGTTACTGAGCAATCCCACAATTTAAACTAAAAAGAATGAAAGGCGGGATTGAAAAGAAAAGAAAGAAGAAGTAGAGTTAACTAGTCATTATAGATTATGACTTTCAGAGGGTAAATCCTCGTCTCGTTGTTCGTCGATTTTCTCGAGCGGGCGCCAGTAACGTCTCCAGTCACCCCTGGCGCGAGCTAGAGTAGTTCACTAGACCCTCTTCGCTCGAGCAACACAGAGCACAACATTCTTTCCAGATAGATCTTTTGTGATCATCCTACCGACGATCAACAAGGTGATCAGTCCAACGAAGATCACAATATTGCACGATTCTTGGATTCCGCGGTGTGAAGAACGATATCCCCGATTTTCCTTCGTTGATGGGACCCGGAGCTCCGGATTCCCTTTGCACTTGCATGCTTCGGAAAATTCCGAGCACCAGCCTTTCCACAGCGCGTTGAATGACCCTGACTGTATGCTCATCCTGATTTCATAGAGTCCAAGTCTCCGAGGTGTACGTCAGAGCAGGAAGGACAGCAGTGTCGAAGAGGTGAGTACCGAACCAGATGTTCTTTGTCTTCAGAAGAGAGCATCAAGAGTCAGTCCATTTCTTATGAACGTCGCCTTCGTTAGGTCTTTGAGAGGGCAGGTAAAACATCTAGGAAGGAGTCTTTTTTATGGCAAGAGAGCAAAATGAAGTAAGAAAGTGAAATTTAATCTTCGTACATAATCACCTTATCTATCATCTGAGCATTGAAAGTAGCACAAAAGTTATTTATCTCAGTTTCAGGATCCAATTTCAAGGTGTCATTTATTCCTGAAGCAGAGATCGTACCTGTTGAAGAGCTCAGCCATATTCATCATTTTGCAGAAACAGTTATGGACACGAGTAGCTTAGAGCCCTAAGCAGTCACCCAACCATTTCAAAGTCAAAGTCGAGTCCGCATTCGTAATCTGAACATTCACCTCTTTACCTTTAAATGTTCTCATATATAGATAAATGAGATCGATCAGTTCTGTCGTGGTGTGATCTACAGCTGACAACAACTTTGGCCCAATTACTTAGCATACTAGTAGTAATAGTTTTTGTAGGAAACAGGTTAGTAATGGAGCCAGTCCCGTGGGTACAAACAACTCGACGTCACTCGCACACTTCAATAGAGTGGTAAAACTGGATAACATAAAAATATCCATTAACAAGCTACTGCCCATATCTCCCGGGCTCGGCTCGATCTAGGTGCTTTGTCTAGAAGGTCTCTGTCAGGGTTCCATCAACTTAACTCTTGCCAAAAATTGATGGCGCAGCAACAAAATTCAGGACGAGAAACCAGCTCCTACCAGTGACATTATGATGGATTAAAATCATGGAAACAGTACTCCACGGATACCGAACTCCACTTCACGATATTTTTTCCCAAACCTTTTTTTGAAGCACCCATCTTAATCTCCTCGCATATACGACGCATCGAAAGAAGAGCATGCACACTGTTCACAGTAGATAACACAGGCAGCCAACTGCAGGCAGTCTTACGGGGGAGACGGGCGTTAGGAAATTTTGGGTAGTCGATCCGCCGCACGCGGCTTTCGCGGACCACTCATTCGCCGTTATTACAGCTCTAGCGTTCTTCATACAGCTCAATCGATATGCGATCATTATTTTATGTACAATTCTACTATTAGTACTTTTGTTCTTGTATTTCATACCTACTGCTGCATCCTGCTACATTCCTTGGCTCGCGACGCCCCTCTCACCGCGACGCGACCATTTCGTTCCTAATGCACCACACCCGTCTTACGGCACAGTCGGGTTTTCCAGTCAAGATCAACAGCAGAACTACTGTGAGAACCTGCTTCGGCCCCAGTTTTCATTCTTTTGTGAGGGCACTGTGACAAGTAGTGTTGTTGCCACACGAATGGTCTAGCAAAAAAATTGCAGATCTCTCCGACCATCCGTGTGGTAGTCTACTCCTTCGCTGTAGTTTTCTGAGTGAACTCTACAAAATACAAGGCCCAGAACCCTACAATTCCTGCTACACGTTTTCACTCTGTCGGTTGAGATCCCATTCAAGTCATTCTGTCAGTCCGAACAGTCCATTTCAGAACACCTCCCACAAAATGTACGTTTGGCTAGCCAATACTTTCGACTTTACATTCCGAACTCAACTACAATACAACTCTTGGCCAGTGTCCGCGGACATTTCAGCAGCACCAAGAGAGGAGGTGTACCCACAAGCGTAAAGGCCTTTAGGTAATGGAACAACTTTTTTAGTTTATATCATTTACTTCATTCATCAACCTGTGCACACATTATATTATAGAAGGAACAAGACAAAAGGAATTATGCATTATGATTAATGGTAACACATTCAATCTATGCTTATTGATTGATTGCTTACTGACCGCAGATATGTTTCAAATGAGAAAAACAGAAATTGCCAAAATGTATATGTATGTGGGGTATAGGCTCGATTCATTCTGTGTATGTGCATTAGATGTGGGTATGTGGCTGACACACGATCGATTGATATAAATAGAATACATACACAGATCACAGGGTAACAAAAAAAGAAAACGAACAGAAAAAAATTGGAAGTAAAATATTCAAGAAAGTAGTTACGTCCATAGCAACCGATAAACATCAAAGCTAACAAAACGAAGAGACTAAGGCGCGATTGTGTGTATATGTGTAGATGTCGGCAAAAAAAGTGATGCAACTACAAACAGATACGAAGCACAACAACAACATCGTAGTATTTACAAGTTACGGTAATACAGTAAACAAGAGTCTCGTCGTAATACTGCTTCAATAAAATACTGGGTGTTGTTAATTTAGGCGATGATAAAGTTAGCTATACTAAATCTGGGCTTCGATTGTTTGGCAGGAAAAGGATGCTGACATACATACACTGCTGCTAACAGCGAAATGGTCCCGGAACGATTCCCTTTCTACGGTAGCTCCACAAACATGGCCTGGTACGCGCGCGTGTGTGCGGTGCGGCAGTGATTTGACGCATCAGGGGTATGGAAATTTATGATGACAGCGATGATTAGCGGAAATGCATGACGAATGTTGAGATGCATGAGAGAAAGTGATTTGTAAATACCATGTGAAGGGTGGAAAATGGGTTATAAATGGGTTACTGAATACCAAAACATACACATATGGGGTTGATTATGTATATAGCAGAATACAGTAAAGCTCATAGACACGCGGGGCCGGCCAAAGGCAAAAATGCGATGTGTGATATAGTAATATGTAGTAGAAGAAGAAATAGTAGTAGATTTAGGTAAAAGTTACAATTCCAAGTTTCCAAAGGGAAATTAGCTTTGGTTTCGAAACAGGTAAATGGGGCGCCGTACAAAAAACAACCCCCTAGCTTCGTAGCGCACGATTGCACTGCACAAATAATTATTAATTGGATAAATGAACTAATTTGTAGTTAGAGCCATTACCATATGTTACTAATTAGTTGTAGTAATTCGAAGAACAAGATGGAAAGAGATGGACAGCCCTTCGTTAATATCAGAATTAGGCAATTAATAGGCGAAATACTGAGTCAATGCGAAGGCTTCATATGCTGAGATTACGCGAGCGTGTGCGCACGCGGTCGCATCTGCGTCAGTCACTCAGCGTCGGGCTGCCAGTTTCTTAATGATATTGCTGCTGCTACTGCTGCTTGTTGCTCAAACTGGCGCCGTACTGTTCAGCTGTTCCTGTACGGAATTTACATGGTTGAACTGTTCCAGAAAATTGAACGCTGCTGGATTCGTGTTACCGGTGAATTGCGACATGCCGAATAAGGAGCTCAGCATTGCTGATGGTGAATTTACCTGAAACAAGAAGAAATCAGTCTCGGATGCAGTTTGAAAGCCAAAAAAAAGTATCCAAGTGCTTCTCGTTTATAGTCAAGAGCGAGGTGCCCAGTTTATGATTATGAAGTAATGGAGACTACGCGGCGAAATCGTGCTAATGGAATCTTCGGGACCCCCATGTTAATATTCTCTGCGACTGTTGCCATTTTATAATAATTTTGTTGCTAATCTTTTGTTATGTTACATATTGTTGTTCTTTCTGATCAGCCGTTTGTATTTTCAACAAGGCTGCTCCACTGCGAATGTTACATCCCCTACAGAACCTTTAAAACACGGCCACCTCTGGGCGTGACATACAAAGATACAATCATTGAGCCTTTATTACGCACTTTTCCAATCCGACATTGACCCACGTGCTGTCCTCGGAAGTCAAGATTGACCTAAGTGACACCTCATAAATCATCTTTTTGTTAAATGATCATTTGGGAGGGGCGTTAAAAGGCGGAAAATTGGCTTCGTTTCAAAAGCGACTTAAAACACCAGAGATAGCCGCTTCAAATGTTGCGTTATAACCCATTCTTTTTACCAAGCCAACAAAAGGTCAGGTGAATGACAAATATAAGTCCTACCTCTGAAAACAAAGGGAACCAACAAATCTAAAAAGGAGGTTCTTCGTGAAAGAGCTATAACTTTTGTGGAATATCTAATAGGAAAAGACTTCCGCCGCCCCTCAAGAATCCTCCTCTACCACAGCTCTTCCATCTCATTTCTTGAAATAACCTCAAAATATTTCTTTTTCTTATACTCAGCGGTAGCTTCTGATAATTGTAGTGTCTACCTCATCTCAACGAAGAATACCACCCAATCTAAGCTATGATGACGGCAAGAATCTTCCCAAAGTCTTCTTAAGTAATCACAGCTGCCACGTCTTCAGCGCACACCTCATCGGACTCCGTTTGATGACACCGGCAGTGCACGCATCATTGAACGCGTCCCTCGTCACCTCCACTACTTTTCGTGAACACCATGGGGAAATAGTGTGGTGATTTCAGAGGATACGGTAGTGAAATGAACGGTGATAGATGAACGACGGACGGGTGGACGGGACGAACGCGACAAACGAACGTCATCAGTCTTCGACACCACTGATTTCAAACACTGCTGTGATGGTGGAACGGCAACGGCTGCAAAACAACAACGCGACGACGCAAAACCGCGCGTACGACGTCGCGCTGCGGCGGTTTGAGCACATGCTAGCAGTTAAGGGTGTTTTTATTGTTTCAATTCGGTTTTAATGCTGTTTTTGTCACATTCCATCTCTTTGTCCTACAAAGGACAATCGTGCTCCTCAACGTGTGATTTAGAGGAAGATTACGAAAACACTGGCTGGGTTCTGGTCTTTTCAGAAGCAAAGGGCCGGCCTAGTACCCTACCGAAAATCTCCCAAACAACCATGTTACAGTTATTGACAAGTCCGAATGGGGGCCATAACCCTTCATTTCGAATAAATCTCTGAAACGATCCTTCACAAGACCTGCGTCGTCCTTACCCTGTCGTCACTATGATGGAGCCGTGGTTTTTACGCACAGTGTTTTAATTGGCAAGCTTTATCGCAAACTACTCAATCGTGTCAAGAACTCATTTAGGAATCATGAAAAGGGGTGGGGCCTAGAAGTTTCTTCGAGGTTCTATGGAGGGAAATCCTAAAGAAAAGAGCAAAGTTCTGAGCCCAGAGACCACCAAAAAATCTCTACCACTAACTCTAAAAACCCCACGTAAAGAGATTCTCCAAACTTTGCCTACCTCTTCCTCCTTGGTCTTTCTTCTGAAACGTTGCTGAATGAAGTCTTTTCGCATATGTACGGGGCGGTGAGTCTGAAACTAGTTAAACTTATTCGAAAACAAGAAAAAATAGCTCTTTCAATTGACTCTGAAAATTGACTTATCAAAAATGTCATCAATGAAGGAATTTCGCAATAGTTATTGAAGTCAAAAAGAAGTATTATTGTACCCTAGCAATTATTATGACCCGTGTTCGGTGAGCGACCCTTGACTTTCATTCTCTCAGTTCAGTGCTCTGACTCCGCTCAGACTACTTCTCATTCAAATGAAAAATCTCGTTCCAAGAATTGTCACACATCCAAAAAAATGAAAAATCAACTATTCTGGCGATTTTTGAAGCTATACGAGTACATGGCGCGGACTCGAGCCTAAGCCGTCTGAGAAGTTACAGTTTACGAAAAGTACAAACCACTTCGTAAACCACTAACTGTTGCTCTTCAGCTTTCATCCAAATAATCGAATAGATGACCTCGAGAATTTTGCTGATTACCTACAGAACTGCACCTTACAGCATAGAAGTGGAAGTAGCTTCCAAATACAGGAATAGCAGATGCCTAGTGTTTATACTTCCAAGCCCAAACTAGGATATTCGACGAAAAGTCGATAACATATTGAGTGAAGGACAGCATTGAAGTTTATAGAGGCACTTAGTTATTTAAATTTCGAATGGGCCCTTTACAATTCTTTCCATACATTCGGGGACCAAATTTGGACGATTTCCGAGCCTGATATAGGGTTCCCTGAACCCCAGCTCCGACATACTTCTTCTACACTTCTTCCTCTTCAAGGGCTGTGTAGAGAAATGGCAGAGAAGATTGTAGACACTACATTCTTCGTCATACGTCTGAGCGACTCAATGTAATTCTATATAAAGTAATTACAGGACCGCTTGAAGTTTGAAGGCTGAATGGAGGGGCGAAGTACGTGGCATGCCCAATGAGCATAAATTTTGTTCAGCCTTGCCTTTCAGAATCCGACCTGCGACCACTCTGATACACATTTTTCACACTTGACCTTAACTAAAGTACAAGGAGATTAGCATCGCTGGGTGCTTCATATCAAAGCGCAGACCACCCTTTTGCACCGACAAACAAAACAGCAATTATAGGGCTTGTATGGGTCGGTGAATTCTCTCTATCCGGTGGAACACCTGTTACCTACCTAATCAGGCACAATTCATCTGGAATAGCCAATCATGCTTTACTAAATGAGCTTATTGTTGATGTTCCAAAAGAATGACTAATTTTTGCATTGGATTATTAAATAACCGCTGCTCGCGTTGAAAAGCTGCTTGCAAAGGAGCTCTCAGGTTTCACAAAACAGCTATTCATCTTCACTTCCTCCACAATGCTCAATTTCCAGCGCAGCTTCGATTTGGTCCCAACTACAGAGTCCTTGAAACAAGATCGTTCTCTACTAATACTTCTGTGAAAGCCCAAACCCTCTGGGCGAGGGGGTTAGCCCTAATGAAAAGCACATTAAAATCAGTGAGTTCATTGGCCCTTTGATAGAAATAATCAATAAGCATCTTTATTATATTTCTTCTCTTTCAGTTGTCCTCACCCGATTAATGAGAACTATGCCCACGGATTAGCTCAATAAATGGAGCTATGGATGACTGAGCCGTCAAAGTTATTCATTTAATATCTCCTCATTTACTTATGAAATTAGAGTTCCACCACTCAGCAAGGTAACCGTTGACCAGGTAAGTTATTTGGCATTGGAAACCGTTGACAGAGGTTGCAAGAAAGGTATACCCGATCCAGAAGTCACCAGCTGCCTGAAGCCCTAAAAGGCTTCCCTTGGTGAACCGTTTTTTCGAAATATCCGAGTTCAATAACTCATTTCGTCCCCTGCTTCTCGCAAATTTCGCCGCATCACAAATGTTTCGTTAATTGTCGTCGAATGCTCTCAACTTGTCTCATTCGAGCGCTCTTCTCCATCTATCCCCCCATATATCCTGTCCCATTTCAGTCAACCACGTCCAGTGAAGGGCGGCCGGCAATCGCGAGCGGTGACCGGTCGTCTTATCCCTCCGCGCCTCAATTATACCTCAGAACCATTCAAGGAGCATACAGACGGTGTCTCCTCTACCTCTAGTAATCATCGGCGTCGTCATCATCATCATCATCATCATCATCATTACTGACCACACAAGGCCGCTCCATCGTCACGGCTATTGTCCGCCGTCTGGGCGGGTCCTTCGATGAGCGGCGTAGTCCATTGCCGGAATTGATAGGCAAACGACGAAGACTGTCCACTACGGAAAGGTCATATGGGAGTTGGCGGTGTCTTTTCCAAGATCGGAAGATCCACAAAACAATGGAATGGCCGTCACTGACTCAATCGAGGTCACCCTTGTTCAATTGCCAGCATATTTTGATCAAGTCAATCATGTATAGGAGAAAATAATTCATACCCGATGAAGTCTGAAATAGAGGCCGCACGCGTTACAAACGAGTTTTCCGGCCATGTCTCGCCGCCATGCTGTCGTCTTTGTCGTCATACAATTACTGCAACGTGAAACTGATGCGTTCGGGTCTTCTTCATCGAATTTCTGAAAACCAGAAAAAAAATTATTTCGAGAGTATAAAGCTGAGAAAAATGGGTAGGAACGTGGTAAATGAACCATGAAAAGCCTGACATCCGGTCCCTACGCCAAATGTTTACTATCGCGTAATCACTACGAGCTACGCGGCGCTACCGTAGTCAACCTCTTATCAGGCTATCTCCGCTGTGATTAGCCGAAAGGTGACATCAACAACGTGTAATCGACGCTATCATTGGACACACCGCCACGGTGAGACGACATGACACCATGTCGGCGCTGATTCTTATCAGTCACGACGACAGAAACATGATCGCCATAAAAAACGGAGAGGTCTCTCTGCACTTATGGACTTGCTTTCACACTATTAATCATTGTCAGCACGCACTTTTCTCCAGCACTAACCCTCTTTTACCAATATCAATTACTGTAAGGAACTCAGAAACTTAAAGTAGCCAAAAACCCTTTCGGACACACTGGAACGAGATGAGATGGAGCAAGAACGACCGTGAACTTCAGATTTTGTCATTGAAGCCTCTGGTAAGGGTCTGGTCGTCCCCCAAATAAGTCAAAGCTCTTCTCTATTGCTCCTGAACTGCTTTCTCAAATTATCCTCTACAGGAACCCATTCAGTGGGGGAACGGGTGAATAGAACGGAAAACTTGTTGAACACAACTCACTTCTGATCAAATAGAGAGCCTTACACAACAGCTCCTCACTTATCACTTCCTCTCATTAGTATCTTTCCGGAATTAAAATTTGAACTAGTACAGTTCCCAGCTCAACCACCTTCCTCCTCCCACTCTACATACCCACAGCTCGTTGGATTTATAATAATTACTTCCTTTCTTCCACCCACAAGATCACGATCCCACAAGGGCAGACATATTATGAAAGAAGTAGGCTGACTGATAGGGCAAACTTGACCGTTTAGTGCACATCTGGGATAAAGTGTCCTCCCATAGAGAATTAGACAATGACCAAGAAAAATCGAAAAGACTCCTAATTTTCGCCCCGCCAGGAGGAACATTTTCATATCCGAAAGGCATCTGGCCCTTCAAATCTCCATGATTGGATTTGGGCCCCTAACCAGGGCTCGCATATCCTTTCATCACTCTACGAGGTGAATTTCTTTCTTTCTTTCATTTGGACGACGAAAATCACTCACAAAAAAAACGTCGCCCATCAAACTGTTGCGAGTAAAAGGACGCCGCCGTTACGAACAATGCACATAAAATGACGTCCGAAAAAAGGCTCACAACGGGACCCCGACATTGATATGATATTGCTGGGAAATGCACGTTTTTCTGATGGTCCCTATGACCATCTTCTCACCAATCCAGGTGGAACAATCGACTAGGTATTGGATGGAACCGTGGGAAACTCTGATGCTCTCACCTCCTTGAACTGATGCTGTAACTGCTCCATGAGCGGATTGAAGTGTTCGGGTGGCTCAGATTTCACTTGGGTACCACCCGATGTAGTGGTGGTCATCGAAGTAATCGACGTCGGTTGTGATGGAGGTTGCTGTTGTTGTTGTTGTTGTGTTTGCTGTTGGGGTGTTGATGTTTGCACTGTGTGAGCTGCTCCTAATGATTGCTGCATGATGAAATGAAGTAGTTGCTGTTGCTGGGCCAACGGATCCACTGAAATCAAGGGCGAAATTAAGCGCAAGCCGAAATTGGCCACATGGAAATTACCCACGAGCTGATTTACGAAGAGCCCGAAAATGGGCGAAAAAACCATCAAATCCACTAACTCATTTGGCTGCCCAGAAAGTTCATACTCTCCGCAAAACCGGATGGCGTTGTCGAGACAGGCGTGGACGGGGCGGCCGACACAGCCGGCGTTTCACAGACCTGCAGAAAGAAGTGTCCTACCGATAGAAAACTTTTACAGAATGTGGAATAACTTTCACCAAAATCCTGGTGAGCCATTAGGTCCGAAAAACTGACCGATGACGAGTTCACGACACTCATATGAGCATCGTCTGATACTCGATGTACGGTATCCTTATTCGGTTTTCGTTTGCGACTACCTTGGGTGATGTTCGGAGACGCACGACTATTGGCCGGTGATGGAACATCCTGAATCAATACATTACAAAAAATCCCACAAAAAATCGATAATTGATTTACAAACTGGATTGTTTGAAAGAGGCCCAAATATAGAGGTAAGACGGAGGGAGAAAACCCTAAACGACTAGTTTTGGGTAATTGTATCCTAAATGTCTCCCAGTAGCTATCGTAAAGTTCGGATATACGAAGGCATTAAGGCTAGCCTCGTAGACCACCTTTATGGGCTGTCTGAAGAAAACATTCGCGTCGAATATTTCGGTTCTAAATAGCAGTGCAACCAAAGCTAGCCAGATGCAGCCGACTGCCTGGTCATAGATGGCTATATAAAGTCTCAATAGCTGAGCTACCCCACGCCGAAATAAATGAAATAGCGAATTCGGCCATATCTGGCGAGATCGGAAGGTGAGATCCATACGTGCTTTCACGTGGTCAGCACTGAAAGGTACCGTTGTCCCTTTCAGGGATGGATGCCCACCTGTGAGTCAGCGGTGGTACACGACATATCCACCTTACAGCTGAACCTACAAGCCTCAAAATCTACCCAAACCCACTCGGCAGTCGGCGAACCTGATCCTTCAGAATACCTTCGACCCAGACTAAGTGATCTTAGTAGAACGAACCTTATCATCACTTCCACTTTCGCTCATCTCCTGATCTTGAACGATCAGCCGATCTTTTTCCTTTTCATTCATTAGGCTTTCTAATCGCATATATATCAAATCGAATTTATCCATCATTTGTTGCATATTCTGAAAATTAATCTCATAATTATTTGATAACTGAAATTAGGAAAATAAATCCTGAACGAGCTGGTCAGTATGCGCCACGCATTTGGCCAGCGGTTATGGAAACGAACTATGGGTATAGCCCTCCCACAGAAGCTTCTGGAAGATTCAAAGACTAGGATCAAACTTATTAATTTTACAAGCAAGCCCCGTAAACGAACAATCTGAAAGCGTGGGACCACGCCTACCTAAGAAAGGAACAGAACCAATGACCCTTGCCGATCATGATGCAGCCGCTCTCCGCACTACGCAACACTGTTTTTTTTGGAATTTAATTGTAGAATCATATGGCCACCTGCTTAATGTCCGCATGCAGCTTGATACAACCTGAACATGGTGGCGGTGGTGACGGGGCAACACCGTTCGGCAGAGACGTCGGTGACGGCATCGATGGACACTGTTGCGGTGGTGGTGCGACCAGTGTCATCTGAAATACAACGTTATTCCATTGCTGAAGTCAACAAAAACTATGCAAATAACCGTTAAATACCAAATATAGCCACGATATAGCTGCAGACGTTGAACGAACCACAGAGGGACACGATTCGGAGGAAAATGTTCTACGTTTCACCAAACTGGTGATGATAAGATCAACGATAATTGATAGAGATAACATCAGTATCACTAGAATGATAAAGAGTGATGATACTTGATAAGACACAGAAGGAATTGCAGCTGACTGTGGGAAATATATCATCACAAGTAGAATTTGTGGACGATAGAGGACATAACAAGCAAAGCGATCTGTTCCTGAGATACCGTACCACACCTGTCTGGTGCGGTACGAACTCCCATATTTTCCAGCGGATTACGACTGTGACAAATTTGCGAATAATCTGATATCAGTTTATTCGAGAAAAATGGTCCCCATAAATTCAAAAAAGAGATTTTAGCACTTCAAACGGACATAGAAAAAGAAACAATGAAACACGAAAAAAGCGTTTACTAAAAATTCCAAGAAAGAGAGTCCCTGGGGTGAAGCTGATCCCACAAACCAGGAGAAATCTAGGGACTGGTTAGATAGTTTATAAATGAAAAGAGTTATGGAGTAACGTATCGGAGACATGGAGGTAGATTTTGCAAAGTACAATCCTTGGACCGACCCAAGTTTAATTCTTAATTTCTCTATAAAACCCTTTTTTTCTGAAAATACATTTGCCATCCAAAAAAAGCTGCTATATTCAACTGAAGACCCTAGAACTTTCCAGAAATCACCCATCCATTCTGTCAATACAGAACGACGGGGTAGGCGAAATCGCGCACATTTACTAAACTATAAACTACTTACTATAAACTCTTATTGCATCGTTATACTTATCAACTTACTACTACAAGAACTACGGTAGTAAAAATGAAGTTCGTGAGGACATGCAAAATGAAGCTTCTAAGTTAATGACTTATCTCCTTCCTAGCAAGTGCCCATGAGACTTCTCATGCCCTTTCAGCTGGCCTTATGAGCTTTGTTGTAAATGCTATTAAACTTTCACTGTTGTAAATGATAATAAGTATCAGCATATTCGTCTCGAAGGCACTTCTGTGAGAAACGAACGACTGAATCTTCAAAACGCTTCCTTACATTTGATCCGTGAGAATCGTTACCTATGAAGATGTACGAAAAAAAAAACATAATAAACGTTACGTATGGTTCGACGAGCTTTTTGGGAGGGCCGCTGGTCGACGAAAAGTACTGTCTTATCATGAAAGCTATAGAAAATGCAAGAAAGAACTCGGCAACAACCGCTACCGCCATCAAGAACGTCGCCATCGTCATCGCCGTCGCCACCGCCCTCGTCGTCGTCGTCGTCGTCACAGGCGGGTGGTGGAGACGGGGGGAGCGAGCGCGCGCGCCTTGACTCCTATCACTATCATGGATCTGAGTGTCCCGTTTAGATGAAATCGCACACCGAACAGTTGATACGCATCTTATCAACACCAAATCGCTACGATCGCTACGATGAAAACACTTACACACCAACTACCCCACCAGACATACACATGTATGTATACCGTTCTTGCAGCTGGTTCTCGTCCGTCCATACATGGTTACCAGTACAATCACCCCAACTTGACACCAGGGACCCTTGTTCCCAGAATCCCTTACTTGGCTGATAACTGCCAACCAAGTCCAATCAGCGAACGCCATTCTCACGGTCGGCACAAAGACAAGGGCCACCACCTGGGACCTGGCGTCACTAGAAGGGTCATATTCTCAAGAGGCCCGGTTCCTTTGTGATACACTGATGGAGTAATCAATAAATATGAGAAGAAGGGACATTCTTAGCATCTTGTACAACACTCTGCAACAAGGACAAGTACACTAAAAGGACCAATCACATGGTAGTAATAACCCTGACCAGTGTAATATTACTTATCACTGATTATCATTCGGTATATTTTGTGCACTCAAGTCTCGAAATCACAAAAATTTTCTCAGGAATCAGATGGTATTAGCAGCCGTAGAAAAAACACGCAAGGCTTACAGCTAGCGGTAGAGGATTACTACGATCTGGTGACCAATGCTAATGATTGGTCATTACAGTAAAAAAGCAATTTTTGTCCAAGGATCACCAGATATCATTGATTATCCTTGGACTCAGAAAAAAAGTAAGATGAGATTTTTAGTGATAATGTTGATCAACATGCAAAAAGGCTATCAAAATTGATATTCAATTTGAATCGCAATTAAAATAATCGGGAAATCAGATTGACATATTATCATGAGAGACATCGGACAATATCATGCAACCATCAAATGGAAAATTGTTTCGAATCAACGTTTCGAGTATTCGATCGCATAGCACGAGGTCGTAAAAGCAAAATTATCACCTCCCAGATCATCATCACCAACTCGTACGGCCTTCGAATAATCGAACTATCAGGCGCCCACATAGAGAGGATAAAATTCGCTACAAAATTCGAATACCTGATTGGATATTGAGTAGCTAACTTGTAAAATTACCATATTGACTTACTGATAAGCTATCAGATTTATTTCATTGTCAGAATCAGCAAAAAAAAGGTTACTCGGGATTTTCAGGTGAAAAATAGGCCCAATTTCCATGACGAGTCGTATTATCCCCTATCACTGGTTATCATTAGTGATAACTGCAGTGAAAGATAGCTTAGGTAATCACTTCTTTGTAAACTAAACAGAATTATCGAATATAAGAGCTATAAGGAAATGTTTTTTAAAAATCAGCAGAAGAGATCCGGAAATCTCAATATCACTGATTACGAAAAAAAACTTGAGGAACATTTTCGAAAATACGATTTTATAAGCTATTACACTACTACCTTAAGCACTAACAGAATCTTAAAAGCTTCGTTACTTCTAAGTAATTGACTGATATCAGTCGCCATGTAAATAGACCATCAAAGAGCAACGGAACATGTTCTTCTACATTTCCTTTCAGCCTGTCGAATACTCGAATTTCGCTCGAGATGTTTTGGAAATTCAGAAGAGATTCAAGTTCACCAAATACTAGTTTCGATTGCAGTCGAAAACTGCAAAATTGATAAGTAACTGTGGAAAAATATGGTCCCGATGAAAAATCAAAACTACTGACCACTAGGATTTAGGATATGAGAAAAGAAGGATAGAGAGATTAAGAAAAAGGTAAAATTGACCGAAACTGAAATAATCAATGAATCTTAAGAGCGAAAAATCCAAATCAAAGCACGTTCACTGAGAAAAGCAAACCGAGTAGACCAGTAAGAGCTTAGTAATTCTCGAAAAGGCTCAACGTCCGTCCCATAAGCAATCAGACAACGATCATGATTGTGATTGACGAGTGATAGAGTGCTGATAGAGGGCGGCAGGAGATAATGAATGATTTCAGCCAATGGCAACACCGGGAACACCCCTTCCCAGCATGGGGTTAGCGATAATTACGCGAAGAAGGTCACGAAAACACCACCTCCCAACCGTGTACACCAGTGGAAACGTGACGGTTGTTGAGGTTTGTCTACTACGGCGAAAAGGCGGTCTACAGAACAGAAGGATGGTAGATAAGCTGGAGCTCGTCAACCACCCGTCCGGCCTAGGTGGTTCCAAAATCGCGGCCGCTGTGTCGGCTATTCTAAGGAGCTGGCCGACAACAATTCGCTCCCCGGACAATGGTTGCTAAGCGGCCAAAGGGGCTGTAGCTTCGACCACGTCAACGACGACGACGACAATTACTGATGGAACACCTTTGAGCCCACCTATGCTGTAGCGAGGGGTTACGCGAACGTATTACCGAAAATCACATGGACGATAATCCATTAACGAATTGACGTGATGACTGAATCTAAGCGGATTTAGGATTGATGGTCCGATGTGATGCGCGAAGGGATGGATACCATGTGGGGCTGGGAGGCTCGGACAGGCTCAGCCTAGCAGCCGTCATCACAGGACACAACCTCAATTACGAGGTTGATAGCGAGTTGAACGCACCGATAACTCCCTCTCTCTCACATGACGCATACTAGCCTGCGAGAGGCAGTAGCGAGTTATCGATTCCACCATTCTGCCCTATTTGACAACTCTCACACTACCTCGGCTAAATGATTACGTTACGAACTCGTTACTTTTCCATGACTTCCCCTCTTATCAGTACTATGCTACCCTCTGCCACATCCGTTAACCCCGTTCACCTCAAACGCTCGGATTAACCCATCTTTAGACTGGGTGGTCGAAATGAACCGAAGCAGACAACATGTACATGTGTGTGTGTACGACTAATGGTCACTGGAAGCAGAAAGAAGGGTTGTGAGGATTGGCAATTAACAGACAGCGCCATATGGAAGAGCCGAGCCCCGGACAAAGAGGCCAGTCACAGCCAGCCAGGCCTTATCGATTGGCCGGCCTCCGCTGATAAGGGGATAAATGCGCCCCGCCAGACCTCATTTACATACCTAAACGGCCTTCTTCTACGTCGTACGACTGATTATCGATCACCATTTGGGAGCTCAGGTTCCGGGGATGGGACGAAGAGGTGGGACCGAATGGGTGTAAAGATTTCCTGGCACTTTTATCCAATCTGAAGAGGGCTTCGCGATGAGTGTTTCACAATCCACCAACGGTTTTGTTTTTCACAACGGCGTCCAGGTCAGTCAACAAATGGCTGTTAGAATCATCTGATGAAAGCACTTTGACGAGGGGAATTTTTCGAGACAACATGACCAACAGTCGCACATCGTGTTTTCAGTGCAAGTGATTCTGATCACTTATCGCCTTACCCGGTTCTCCCGGCCCCATTTTCAGCCCACGTACTGCCACGCCGAACGTAAGAGTCACGCCGGCCGTGTATGAAACATTCAAGATGACAGTTTCAGATAAGCCGGAGATAAAAGAATAGCGCGTCTATTGACCTCAATGATCAACTGATCGTTAAACGCCACAACTTCGCACAAATTTAGCCTGGGCGATTCATCAACGATAACCCA